TTCCGAGACTCTTGCACAAGTGACAGCCCATTCAGAGAGTTCAGGAAAATTGTTTTTTTTGGTTTTTTTGGTTTTTTTGGTTTTTTCGTTTTTTTTTTTGGGTTTTTTTGATTTTGTTTTTGGTTTTTGGATTTTGCCAGTACTACCTGTACGCTAGGAGCTTTGACCACAAAATGACCGCAAAACACGCAAACAACTGCACTCCCAGGGTGGCCCGTTCTGTATGAAAAAGTAGATTTGGACGATTTAGTCCATCTGACATGAAAATGTACAGTCAAGCCCATGCAGCAGATCCTACCCTGGAGCCTGCTTCCCTTTGACTAGTACTAAAGACTTCAAAAACTTCAGGACGATCAGCATCCGCAATGCTTGTTCGAGAAGTCTTTCACGTTGTCTGAGTCTAAGTCCTTTTCTAAAGTATCTGAACAGATGTTCCCTTTTTTTAACAAGTCTCGGCCACTTTTCAATAGATCCCAATTGCCTTGGTTGGATGGAGACTTTGGACAATTGAGAAGGTCTTATGATCATCTAAGTTCCTCTAAACTGCTGGATGTATTAAAAGCATCCGCCATTCTTGGAAGAACCCAAATCCATTCATTCAGATGATGTAGATAGTTTGGATGGCCTATATCCTACAGGCACTACAAATATTGTAGATGATCTTACCTGTAATATGTGGTAACATCATCTTAGCCCGCTTCAAAAGTATTGCAATATACTTGCAAAGTCTAATTACAAGCTTTTAACGAATCAAAGTAGTCCTTTCAATATCTCGAGCCACTCCGAGACTTTGCACGTAACTTCCAAACCTCTTCTAACCTCTTTTGGAGCTTTAGGAGACTGTAGAGAGTTTGCGAAGTGATACAATCAACAGTACAAGCTGTCTGAACACTTACTCCTTTCCTCAAATGATTCAGTTGCCTTTATGCGGATGATGTACATACTGTGGAGAATTAACTAGAGTAGTTTCTTTATGATCTCGATGCGTGTTGGGCGGTCTAAGGCTCTTCCAGATCATCTAAACAGGTTGTCTGCATATTGTAAATCTTGTAGATACCCTTTTAACTGCTCTACATCCGCTTCTAACTTATCTCACACCCGTTTCGGTTTTCCTACTTATGATGTTTTCTGGTCTCGACAATCTGTTAAGGTATCCAAAGCATAGTCCAGCTTGCGACAAGTGCCCAGGGTATAGATGCTAACCCACTGTAGCACACGCACAAACACGGGAAAACACAGGCCCGAGCATGGTCGGCTCCCGTCTCTTTACTCACAACTGACTCTTGGGTTGTAACCCTTTCCAAGCTCTCTGTCTCAGGTCTCCTCCGCCGAGGTCATTGCCTGAGGCCTGCTCTGAGCAAGCACTTAGCGTCCGTCTGTGAACGCAGCAACCAACAACTTCTGAGTTTTCCGGTTTGTGCTCGTGCCTAGCTGTTCTTGCCCAGTCTACAAGCAGCCGGGAGGCGAGCCTTAGCCAGCAGCGGACATTTACGAGCGTTTGCTTCTCGTCCGGATGGCTGTGAGAGATCGAAGCCCGCCGCTTGCAGTGAAGCAATCAGGCTCGAACATTCCACACGCGAAAACAAATTTGTACTGTAGTTCTTTTGTGCTACCTCTACATCAAGATGCAGGTGGTTCAGCCTTCTGCCTGTAAACAGGTGAGCAGCTTAAGTTGTGTCTCGGCGTCTTAGCACAGTGTTTGTTTACATGGTCAGAGCAGGTCAGCAAGAGGCGGTGTGCGCATTGTTTGCTTGCTTACAGATGGTTCGAGTGACTTCTCAGGCTGTCCGGATTTGGTGGTGCCCATTGGCTCTCAGAGCATCGTGGGCGTTCCTAGCCTGGCGGCAGTGGCAGCTTTGGACGCCGGAGATGTTCTGGATATCGTGGATCCGATTCTGGGCAGAGCACTGGGGTCAGCTGTGTTTCGAGCTTTGTTCAGTGAGCTGTCCGCTGTCGAGAGTACCGGACCATGCAACCAACGGCTGCGGGGCTGAGATCTTGCTTGAGACCTGAGCCACAGCAATTAAATGCCTATGCCGCCCATGTCCCGAAATTTGAGGACGCTTTCATTCGGATTCGTGTTCTGCGCTCCTGTGTAGGATAGCGTAGACTGGGTGGGCTTGACGAACGTTCGGCCAGTTGCGGATACGATAACGGGGCTGAGGGGAAAGCCGCTCGCCAGACTCCGACTTCTAACGTGGTCCTTTGAAGATTCCTGCTTCGTCCTTCTCCAATGCCAGAGGTGTGACTCCTAAGTGTGAGCGGAGTTCGATCCCCCTTAAATCCGAAAACCTATAAACTCTAAAGCCTACACCTCTAGAGCCATGAAACCTTCGAACCAAGCAAAGCCTCCCACATCACAGGAGGTTTGTACTAAGCTACGAAGTTCCCCGATCCTGTAAATTAAAGCCCAAAGTGTAAACAGGCCATGTATGTATATGCGCATATAAGACACAAAACCTGCTGCCCACGGTGCACCTCCGTGGGCAAACATGCAAGCGAGTGAGGGAGAGAGACTGATGCTGGATACTTACCTGAGGATCGGCATGCCACTCCTCAAGGTCGCGCTGCAAGATTTTCACTTGCGAGTCGTCATCTAAACTTTTCGTGCTGCAGAGTCTATTTCGTGGGATGCGTCACCCGCTCGCTTGGGTGCTGCTCTGGTGCCATGTCCTGTCATGTCGAGACGAATAATCAAGACATCCAGACGAGCGGCATCAGTGAGAGCGCTATGCCTCTCCCTTTCAGCCGTTGAGGTTGAGCTTCAGCTTCGACCGGGCCCTGAAGGTGCCCGCATTCGTGGCCCCGCTACGGAGGCCCGCACAAGGAACCGAAGAATCAGAGGCAATCAGTTCGGTGCATCCCGGCTCGGTGTGCAGAAGGGTTTCAGCTGGTAGCCTTTCATGACTAAGCTACATGGCTTGCATTGTCGACTGCCTCCGATAGTCCTTCAGGCACCGCTCCTGGTGCTCCGGAACCTTCGACCGGAACCCCGGGGATCGTTGCTGAACATCAACGTCACGGGCGACCTGGCGGCAGCAGCATGCAAGACAACAACTGAGCAGTTTGGGCTCAGTTGGAGGTTGGGTGAATACATCGGCTATGGCCTTGGCTTTTCTGCAGACATCCCCTGGAGAGACCCAGCGGCAAACAGGTGCCAAAAAGCGGAAGAGCGCGGTTTGCTTTCGCCTGTGGACGCCTAGGGCCAGGAGAGGCTGGAGATCTGCAGCCCCGACTTGAGCATCTTCGCCTCCTTAGCGCAGGCTGAGCCGAGAGGGAGAAGTCTGCTAAGCTCCGCTTGTTGCTGTTGCGATTTGATCCCGCATGAGGGGCGTAGTCGCCGCCTGTCTGCTCCGAGGAGGCAAGCGGCAAATTTGTTCTGAGAAGCGGCCGCGAGGAGAGCCTGTGAGCCTTGGAACATCTTGGAACCTTGGGAGGCGGGAGGCAAAGGTCTTTTCTACGTTGATGAGCAAAAAAATCTTACTCGAGGGTTCCACATCGCCAACTACTGATCGATCCGACCAAATATTCCCACACATTGATCTCACCTCCAGCCTTTGTTCCGAAATCCAGGCAAATCGAGGGCACCTGCTTGGAGATTTCAGTGGACTGCTTCGAAAGTAAGTGGGTAAGTATGTATGTATGTATGCATGTATGTATGTATGTGCGTGTCTATGTACGTACAATCGAGACTTGTTTGACATCCGGGCTGAGCAAGGTTGTTTTGAACATAAACGACTGAGCACAGGTTTTCAAGTTTCTATCCCAAGCTATGTATACGTCTACAACCTGGCGATTGAGGGTTTTGGATGGCCTTCCGAGGTATGATCTTCCACAGCACCTTCCGCGAATCGCAACACGATGCCATAACTGTGACTGATGGCAACAACCAGGTGCTGTCAAGAACACGTGCCGCTGCTTGTCTGATGCAGTACGGTCAGTAACGCTGCATGATGTCGAATGGACTTGGGCCCTTAGGACTTCCACACCGTGAGTCCGTCATGTTGGCTTTAGGTTCGGATTTTTCTGCCATAGATGTTGAGTCGTGTCATTCGTTTTGGAGTGTGGTGATGATGTGGTGCAAGAAGCCTGGTCCTGCCCAATTCAATCTGCACCACCCTGCCTGGCCTAGGTCACTAGGTGCACTTGGCTTGGATAATTTGTTGATCCTGTACTCGCCAGCAGAAGTCCTCGTGCACCCTTGACATTGTTTCTCGTGATGTAAGGGACGTGCCAACAATTCAATGCAAAGTCTTGCCGCACAACAGTCAATTTGATGGCCGTGTGGGAGCGGCTCCCCCATACCCCTGACAGCATCACACATACCAGTGGAGCCGCACACATTGCCTGGTGATGGCCTGCGACAGCTCGTAAAAACTCTCGCGGTTGCTGCTGTGAAAGATCCCAGTTGCGTTTGGCATTGAAGTCCGTGTCCCGCGAATGCTGAGTAGAATGAAGAGTTTTGTGTTGCTTTACATATTCATTTGGACCTTTCTCCTACCTTTGCACGTTTATGCTGTGCTTTCGGGCTTTTCCAGGCATTGCGGCCTTCATCTGATTTCAATCGTCAACAAACCGTATGCATCCTTGTCGCCAAGGCCCATCTCCTTTCAAGCCCTCCTGGCCAGAAATAACAAAGGCAGAGATGTGTGACAAGAAACTCCAGATCCCAGGCCGACTTGCAAGTTCCGGAGCCTGGCAGATTTTGCAGCCTGCAGGTCAGCAAAGGGATCTCGTATTCGTAGTCGTAGAGCCTTCGAACATGATCGGGCCTTCCGCATTCCGCTAGTGGCTTCGTTACAAGACAGAGCAGCCTGATGTTCGGACAGAGCGCAGGTCTTTTCCGGAGTGGACCTTGGAGTTGTGCTATGCTGCCTCTTTTTCATGGAGGGCCGGGCCAGAGATATTTTCTGAGAGGCGCGGACCGAACCAGGCCCGCTTGCACTCCCGTAGTTGGAGATGCAGCTGCACATGTCGCACAAAGTTCGTCGCAGAAAGTGTGCCCGTCCAGTGCAGCAAAGTGCATCGAAGTGCATATGTCAGTGGGACTACCCTAGCTTCCGCAATCCCCACCCACACTGAACCGCCACGAATGGACCTAAGCCCTCTCAGCTCTCCTCAAATGCCGCTGTCCACCCAGGTGCAGTGCTCAAGACCTTCGACGTACGTCCCCCTGAGGTGTCGAAGCTGTGACAGCGATTGAATCTGGCCCCTACAAGTCTGCCTCAATGAAGGCGGTCGCTCCGAGAACGTGCATCGTGCGATGCTCTTGCGTCGGAAAACCTCGAGAGCTCCAACGAAACCAACGAATGCGTTCTTGGCAGTTCTGCTCTTGACACACTTGTGAACATTCACGAAGCAATTGGATGCCTGCAGAGTTGCCCGGAAAAGCACTGTGTCTAGGGTTTAGGACTGAGTTTGAGACAAGAAGGGTCCCGAATTTAGACGCCAAGGAGAATGGGATATTGGATGCACTTTGACTTTTTAGCCCTAAGCCTCAAAGCTAAAACCCCCAACCCTTTGCTCCTTCACCTCCATGCTTAAAGAAAGTCTTCAGGAACGTAGCCTAAGGAACCGCGACGTTCGAAGCACAAAAAACATGGCTAACTCCCCGGCCTCGTTCTTCATGGTGGCGAAGCTGCTTGTGCTGCTTCTCCAGCCGTTGCTTGCAACTTGACAAATTGTGACTACCAGATGCTATCCGTGCTCGAAAGCAGTCCTGCCTGATGCGCCGAGCTGGTAGCTCCCGACAGAGCTGAGTAGGAGTCCGTGATCGACGAGTATAAGGACAAGTTATACGGTATACGCGATTGGGAATGCTTACTGGTTGCAGCTCCTGCTCAAGATCACGTTCGAAAGCACTCACACGCAAATGTGCAGAATGCACCACGGAGGTCCGCAGCGCCGACGGCTGCAACCCTGAACTCCTGCGCCGGGAGTCGGGGAAATACTTTCGATTGCTGGAGGCCATGGTTGTGAGAACTCCCGCTGCCCAGACAATCCCAGACTGTTTTAGTCTGAAGTGCAGCGTCCAAAAGCCATTTTAAACCATGCCGAAGGAGTCACAACGCCGAAGCGTAGTCCAGGATGACGAGCGTCGAACGACATGTTCGGAGATCACCGGCGGTCAATGCCCGATCGCGGTCCCTGTGCTAGGAAACCCCTGCTCCTGGGTCGCACTCAGATCCTCACAAATTCCATGCGGGCAGGAGGGGCACAATTGTGCTGATGTGGTGTGTGACAAGGGCCTGATCCCTCAAGAGCACGCCTCCATTTGTTTGAGCCTTCAGTCTTCATCGCGAATCATGAGCTCATGCATCCAGGCTTGGTAAGCTGCGTTGCTTCCGAAGCAGATTGTGCGACGATCAACCCGCACACAGCTGCCTGGTTTTCACAAGCACTCAAGGGGCAGAGGTTTCGTACTTTTGTTGCAGAGTCCTGGCAGAGTCTCCGGCTCAGCCTCGTTGGGCTTTACGTACCGGTGTTGCTGCTCAGAAAGAAGCATCAGAGTCCGAGGGAGGGGCGCGAAGAAACAGATCAGGCAGGGGTGAACCCCTCGGAAGATCCGCAGCTGTGCAACCATGGCAGCAGGGTTGGCGGTGTGCGTTAGTTCGCTGAGAGTTCGGGTGAAGAGTTTCTGTCGGTTTCCCGATACGAGCGAGGTCTGGCACCCCACACATGCTCAGAGCCATTTAGTTCGCACACCTCATCCCGGAGCATAGCAGACTTTGCAGACACTGCGTGTCTCAGCCCAGGCACAACTTGCGACATTACTGCCTGCAGGCGTCATGCCAGCAAATCGCGGCTTGAGCATTGCGCGTGCGCCGAGATGCCTGACCGTCGACCTTAGGGGTTTCAGAATAATTGAAGAGTGCATAGAGCAGTGAACTCGCGTGTCAACCAATGCACTTGCCACCTTTATCCGAAAGTTGGTCTTGAGGCCGAGAAACGCTGAACAGCAACCGCTGCGTTCTCAACACAATGTAATCCTTGGGAACCAACGTTGAAAGTTTCAGTGTTGTAATTGCATCAATCTCATGCTTTGTCCAATGAGCAAGTCTAAGTCCATTTGTACACGAAGAAGCTCAAGCCCCAACATTCGCTTCGCACTAGCACGGGGCAGGGCTGTTGTTCCTCGGGTTAGCAGCTGCCAAGGTTTTGCTCATTCGAGCACGGGGCGGCAGCTTGCCACTCGTGCTTCGAAGCCTGGACCGCTAAGTTCTGCAGGAATGGTGTTGCATTCACACGTCGCGAAGATTTCAAGTCTCCAGATTCCCGTTATAAGGGCAACACACAGTTTGGTGCTGGATATGGAAACTGCCTTGAGCTTGAGGCACTGATTACACACACTGTCGTCCCGAGGATGGCTTTGAGCTGATAGAGCACGCAGATGGCACGCAGGCGGGCAAACTTGTTCTAATCTCTACGCGCAACTGTCCATGTCGCTTCAGACACAAAAACACCGCGAGCCAACGAGGCGGCTCTGGTTGGGACCCCTGACTTAAGCCAAGTTCCACCAAGCTTTGAAGAATTGTGGGGCGTAGTCTTCTCGTACAGCGGCCTCTCAAAGCGAGCACATGTTTACAGTTGACTGAGCAGCGGCTGTTTCTTGCCTTGAAGGAGTGCATAGTCTTTGGGCAAACCGCCATCGTTTACATCGCGTATATTTTGATGACAGCTTCTTGCCGGCCAGCTGCAGAGGCACTGATTGTCATCCGAATTGGTGGGCAGCATGTAATTGAAGCTGGATTTGATTGCTATGGAGGTGCCACCAAGAGATTCATCCTGCTCGAAGCATGTTTTGAACCAGCACGCCCATGTGTAAGCTCGCAAGGTTATTCTGGCAGCAGTTTTATTGGTACTGGCCGGCACCTGCTATGTCGCTGCCGCGCAGCATATGCGGCTTGCAATCAATGCATCACGACTTCCAGTGAGCTCTGTGTGGGAAAACGGTCTCGACTCTTAGGCAGCGAAGTTGGTCTTCTCCGGCTAGGGATCTGACGGCCTCTCGGATCTCTCGACGAGCGAGCAAAGTCTTCGTATTGCGGTTGTCAAGCGTCAGAGGTGGCATGCAGGTACAACATCGCTGTCAGCCAAAACTGGCATTGTATACATGCAGCAAGGTTCGGAGCACAAGCAGGTTTTCAGATCAGACCCGAGGCTGGCCTCCTCACAGGAACTTCAGCCGGTGTGCCCATCTCGAGCGACGACATCGAGCCTGCGAAGGAACGATGGTCGTGCTTCGCTTCTGTGGTCTTTGACTGACAGTGTGGGGGCTGCCTGGCCTTGGAGAAGACAACTTACTAGTACAGATAGTTTCTGCAACATCCTCGGCGTTCTCTTGCAGGCCAGATTTCGCGATTGGACGGGGCTTCAGTTTTTTGGTGCGACTTTGCTCGGCCAGGCGAAGAGCCACAACGAAAAAGCCATCGCGAAGCTCTGCTTGAATCCATTCCAACCTCAAGCCCTCCCAAGAACAGGGGCAGTCGGCCCAGAAGCTGTTGGATTGAGTCGTGTGCCAGATTCCTACATCCAGTCCCGTCAATCCAGTAGGTTAGCTTACTCCGCTTGTCCCTCACAGTTCCACTGCCTGAGGTTGGCATATCGCTAGAGCCGCTAGAGTGCTACAGTTGACAAGACCCGCACTCCTCTCTGGTCCTTCTCAGACTCAGGCATGGTCTCTTGACTTCCCTCGAGGCAGGACTGGGTGACTGGGCCCAGCACGCCGGGCACGGACGCCAGTCTTGCTGTGCATTTATTTGTCTGCTCCTCACAGGGTCTAGAGTCTAGAGGCGATGTGAGCAATGAATGGCAAGCACCGCAGCTTGTCGTGTGGCGATATCCCTGCTGCCCCCAAAACAGGTTGTTACAGTATGTTACAGTCATTGAACAGGCATCAATCAAGTTCAACGCGCTGCGCCGTGCTGCAACCCGCAGTGGACAGAAAGACCTGAAGAGGACCGGACAAACTAATGCCGAGGCAGGCAGGAAGCGGAATGGTATGATGTTGGCTTGCTTGCAAGGATGATTGAGGCAACCCTCGACACTGCTGATGATCTTGGAGTTGGACTCCAGCTGTCGCTCTGCACCGGGCAGTTTGTGTCACAAGTGTAGTTCGTGTAGTGCCATGCGAAGCCGAGTCGCGTGCTTGCACTTCTGCGGGTGAAGGCTGACAGGGTAGGGTGAGTGCTTCGATCCAGCAATCCACCCTCTGAGCGACTCAGGTTTTACAACACCCAGATCTTTCTGATTGCTTTCAGTTTGCTGGGTTTCGGCGTGGCCTTCTTCTTCCTCCGCATACTTACCTCAGGTGGCGGCATTTCGCACGTTTGGGACAGGCAGTGGCATGTCAGTTGCGCTTCAACAAAACAGCGACATCCTGCTAGCGTTGTCCTTCCTGGTTCAATCACCTGTTCTTTCTGCAGCACAGCCCAGCGATGTTCACGAGGCTCTCATGACTCATGTCCCCGCGAGCCCGTGCGGACAGGTGCGACGTTGACCGAATTGATGGAGGAGCCTGTTGACCCGATCACTCCGAGTTCTGAGAAACCCCGAACCCAGGAGGCTGCCGTTTGCCCCACCTCCCTGGCACAGCTCAGGACTGAAGAGCTCTGAAGACCACTCCAGTTGCCTCCTTGAGCCGTGCGTGTAGCCTTGCTGGACTTGCTGTGGCGCAAGCGCACATGCGCCAGCACTGCCAGGAGTTTCGAAGAGCAGGTCATCTCTCGAGAGAGGCTTCGTGCCGAACGTGGCCAAGTGACCGGACTGCTCCATGCAATGCGAGTCCAGACATTTGGAAAGATCTTTCCGGCCGTCCTGTAGCTCGCGCAGACATGCCCAGATGTTGCATTCGATGTCTTTCACACGCATTTGCTACGTTCTTGGTGGTCCCCCGACCATGGTCGACCAGGGGACAAAACTCGAAACCCCAGACTTCCAAAGCTGCAGCAGGGCCCAACAGCTCAGGTGATGGGTGTGGTCTTGTGGTTCTGCGGTGCAACTTGGCCATCACGCAAGTTGCAGAACACACAGAAAGGAAGGTGCCTCACGACTAAATCTATCCTTGTTTCATCACCCGAACTTGCCAAGCAGTAGCTAAAGCCTTTTCAGCAACAAGGGCATTTCGGAGCCCTGCTATCGAGCTGTGAGGACGTCATGGCTTTGAAAGCCGACCGGACCACCTAACATCCAAC